GATTAAAAAAGTGACATTCCACATAAAAGTTGCATAAATGAGGTTATTCTGAAGGACTGGCTGTACGATGAAGCTCAGAAAACTGCGGAATATGGCAATCTATTATGCCTTCACACGTGAGCCGCTCCTTTTCCAGATAGAGACATTACAATAGCAACGGTAAGCAGTTAAAGAGTAAACCGATCGCAAAATGGCTCAGCTACATGTCTTTCACTGCCATGGTCGTGCTCTGAAGTTTGAAGTTCAAACCATAGAGCCTTACCAATTGGCGGAGGACCGGGATTACTGACATAACCTTACTCTGCTACCACCGCAATTCAAAATAAAACGGTAAGCTTGGAAAAGGACAGATGAACTCTGTTTTGTCATTTACGCTATCAGATGAATTACAGACTAGACCTTCGTAACTGAATATCGGTCAAATAAAGGATACAAAACTAATCGTTATTCAAAGGTGATAGCGCTGTAAACTACGTCTAGCGTTTAAGAGAAAAAAATATACGCTGCGACTGGGATGCCAGGCCCTATCACCCATACAGTTGACGCTATTACTTAAACTACTCTTTCATAGAGCCAATGCGTTGTATTTTTCTGTGTTGATACTTACTCACTGAAGACATATCAATTACTAGATGACCACTATAACTTGCAGTTCTGCCTACTTCCAACGCATTCGCGTCCATGTCAAGTACGTATCAAGTATGCCATTTAGAGGGTTTTCTTAGATAGTACGCTCGATAATATCTTTACATCCATGATTACTGAAACGCTACAAAGATGAACAGAAAAAACTGAGTAATTGGTAGCGATCAAATATTTCAACTTGAAATCACCTCATAAATACTTCGAAATCACTTTAAATCTGTAAATGTTTCTTAGTATGCATGTATGTTTGCCAACGTTAAGAGGCTAGTGTTTGAATGGCGCCTGCGAATTCTGAAATTTTGCGTCAGTAGTATTTTTGGAAATGATGCGAAAATTGCCTAGTTGAAAACCTTAAGCTTGCTGTTAGCAGACGACCTTGTTTTACTGGCATCTTCCGAAAGTGATCTACAGTGCTCCCTAGAAAAGTTCGCAGCCGAGTGCGACGTGAACGGCATGCCTGTGAACGCATCTAAACGAAAAGCCTAGTGCTTCCTCGTTCTCCTGCCCGTTGCTCTCTTCAGATTAACGGAGAAGCAGTGGAGCAGGTGGAGAAGTTCAAGTA